GAAATCAATTAGGGAAAACAGCTGTCTGATCGGCTCTCGCTCGCACCCGCACGCACGCTCGGAAAATCGTTCAGCGTTTGCGTCAGCTGTCGTGTTGTCAGCGGTATGGCTTTGAAACGGTCGCCCACGGATTGTGAGTCTCCGCTGTTCTCCTTTGAATCTATATTTAGCGTCTTGTTCGATCACTGTCTTTTGGATGGGAGGTGGTAGTGCAAAAGTGGAACGATCTCTGAATACGCGGGAACAGGTGAACAGATCAGCTGTTTTTAGGGGAGTGTGCTGTATATTCCATATGTGGGAGTGAGTGTGCGGGCAACGAATATTTTCCTTCTCTCTCTCTCTCTCTCTTTCCATTATTGTAAATGGAAAGTGAAGAATATTCGGTGGGAATTTGTCGGACTGTTTGAACAAGACAAAGGAGCTTATATAGCTATCATAAATATTATAAGAATTATTATGATTTCCATTATCATTTTAAATGCAAGTGCTTCTGATACCAGGATTATTACCATCAGCATCAATATCAACATAATAGATATAAGATACTACTAGTATTAAGCCTGTTTATCACCATCTTTATCCTTAGCAATATATTTTGAGTTTGTAGAATAATAATAGTAGCATTGTTGTTGCCAGCATCATCAATCATCAACATATTCCTTTTCTCTCTTTCTTTTTTAACGTGCATTACATATTGACCCTAACTCTACATCACATACTTTTCCCGACTTGTCTTTTCCAAACCCGTATCCTCTGACCTTGGAATTGTATTATTTGATTCTTCGTCCAGTTGTGTGTCTTATATGTTTGTTTACTTGTTTTGTGTTTATGTTTTGTCGTTTCCTTTCAGGTCCCGGTTCACGTCTAAGAATTCGTTGTCGTCTCCCAATACCATATGCCCGTATTTTGAATTGTATTCCTCCCCCTCCCCTTCCCCTTACCACCCCACCCCCCGAGCCTTTCCTTTCGCCAAGAATTCTTTCATTGTCATTATCACTTTTTTTTTTTAGTTCCTGCGTTTCTTGTCCTGACCTTTTCTCTCTCCCACAAGACGTGATGTGTCTGCCTCCCTAATTTCTTTCTGAATTACCTTGACCGACCTGCAAGCGTGTCTCATCATCGCTGTCCTGTTAACCTTGTACCGTTCTGCGTTGCCCTCCGTCTAAAGTAGGCCGTTCATGACGTCAAGTATTATTCATGAATTCACTTTTTCGTATATTGGCTTATACTTTCTCTGCAGGTAGCAATGCCGAATTAGTTCAGTTTGAAGAATTTTAGATTTCGCTTTTTTTTCGCTTTAATTTTCGTCCATCACTTGTTTTCCATTTTCATTCTTCAGATCATAATTCCTCCATTCGCACCAGCTCTCCCCTCGTCCCATCCCCTCGTTCCATACCTCCCTTCCCCTTCCCTTGAAAGGAATGCTCCTCTAGTCCCCCCCCCTCATCCTTCCCTCACAAGGAGACAATGTACAAGCCTCTCCTATCCCACGAGGATGAACAAGACGGAGGGTACAAGAGGTATCCTTTTGCGGCCTTGGAGGACTACACCGAGGACGAGGACGAGCTGTGGAGCCTCTCGAGTATCCCTGAATGTATGTCTCGCCGTCGCTTTAATGTTTTTTTTTTGTTTTTTTTTGCGTGTATGTCTGTTTTTGTTTATGTGTGCCTTTTATGTTTATGTCTGTGTGTGTGTTTATGTGTGTGTGTGTGTGTGTTTATGTGTGCCTTTTATGTGTTATGCGTCTGTGTTTGTGTTTATGTTTACGTCTGTTTGTGTTTATGTTTGTCTTTTGTGCTTTTATTTGTGTGTTTGTGTCTGTGTTTGTATTTATATGAATATGTGTGTGAGCGTATGTAGTGTGTATGTGTGTATATGTGGTAGTCTTTGAACCTTTCTGGTATGGTTTATATATATGTTTGTGTCTTTATTGTTTGTTTTCCCTCTTTGTAACAATCTACATCACTTCATTTTTTTTTAGTTAATACATCCTATCACATCCGTCTTCCCACCTTGAGTTATTATCATCATTTTTATATTATTGTTGCTGTTATCTCTGCAATCACTCTTGCTCTAAATGAAGTCCCCAAGACCATTATCATCGCCAAACTTCATCATCCGGGTTATCGAGAACAGGTCAATAATCGTCTCTCATTGACGTCACCACTCCGATAAGACGGCATGAATGACAGCTTACTTTTTATTGTGGAGTGAAAGGGGAAATCGTTCACTCCGTTACCATAGAAACCAGTGATTTCTTGACTGAAACGCAAAATTCGTGGGGAAAAAATTGTGTACGGATAAACTTATTTTATAAACAGGCATTGTTCTACTTTAGATACCTAGCTATACAATTGTTTCGTTCTTTATAAAACATAGGGTTATTTTATTTTTTTTTATATGGACACAGATTTTCTCAATATTGTTTTTTTACTTTTCAGCTACGAATCTCCTTGCTGGCGGGGAGAAAACCTATGACGATGTGGAAGCGAAAGAAAAGGTCAGTTCTTATTTATATCTTTCTCTGTACGTTAACCTTTTTTGGACGAGTTAAACTATATTAGCGAGGTTTCTTATTTTTTACCTTCGTGCTCCCTGTGGACGGTGAAAAGAAAACGGAAGAGACCGAATGTGCCCGTTTTCTTCCTTAGAATTTAACCATCGAAGGCTATTCAGGAGTTAGCGAATTAGCTTTTGAACGCGAGTGGACAGATAATTGAACATCCAGCAAAGTCAACTTTCCTTTCATAGAATTCGTTTCGAATCTTACATAATTTTACGAGTTATCAACATAATGCCTGGCGTTGATTAATTTACTGTATATGTGTTTGTTTATGTGTGTGTAGATATGTAATTGTAGATAAATAGATATTGGTAATTGAATCGATACAAGCATGTGTGTGTTTGTGTGTGTGGTGTGTGAATGTGTATATGTTGTACATATTTCCACGCTCATACACGTATGTACACCGTCTCTATCTCTGTCTCGCTATCTCTGTTTACCTGTCTTTCTGTCTACCAGTGTATTTCTCTATCCATGTATCTCGCTCTCTAGTTCTCTATCTATGTATGTATCTGTATTTTCTCTCTCTCTCTCTCTCTCTCTCTCTCTCTCTCTCTCTCTCTCTCTATATATCTTTCTCCTCTCTCCTCTCTCTCTCTCTCTCTCTATCTATCTATCTATCTATCTCTTATCGAGTAGAGACACCAGGGAAATGATGGTATACCGGTATAACCACTCACTCGGACCTCTTCAGCAACTCGAAAATAAAACAAATCATTCGGAATGCATGTTATTCTCAAATGAAAGCTACGGGAGGAAAATGTCCTGTTTTTTTCTGAATTACCACAGGCAAGTTCAAAGGATAATTGATGTTGCGTGTGTCCATATATATAGATAGACAGATAGAGACAGACATGAAAATATGCAATGAGACCATAAACGAATGTGACGCACACTTCTGTTACAAAATCATAGCTGTTGTATTATGGATCTGATAACCACACTTTCGTAGTATCATTAACATATAATTTGCTTTCGTAGTGTGTGCGGGCTTTGTGCACAAATATCTTGATATACTTTCGAGAAAAGTGAAAAAAGCACTAGCACTGATAGTAAAGATACATACGAGCGAAAGTGATTGGTCAGGAAATAGACAGGATTGAAAGGATTTGTGGTGCAGGAAATAAGAGGTCATTGCTCTGATCTTTGCAAGAGGAAGGTCAATCCCACTTTGCATGCAATCTAAACATATCGCTAAAAAGCGATAAGGGCATTCTGTGATATAACGTCAACTAGTGTTTGGATTTTTTTCGATAACATTAAACGGCACTTAAAAGTGACGTGTTTATGAAGGCAAGGATGCGTGCACGTGCATTGCAGACTTAGGCATGAACCGTTTTTTCGTTATTGTTGTATTTATCGCTATTTGCGTGAGAGAGAGAGGGGGGGGGAGAGTGAAAGAGAGAGATGGGGGGGGGGGGGAAGAGAGAGAGAGACTGAGTGAGAGCGGGAGAGTCTGAGTGTGTGTCGTGATTGACAGTTTTCCATCATGAGGTGTGTGAAGCCCCTTGTTATGAGGTGGGGTCGACATCCTCCTCTTATCCACACCTCATTCCCTCCGATTGGATCTGGCGAGTCCGAGGAAAGGCTTGTAACGCGAGATTGTAGCCAGACCTGTGTGTGTGATCGAGACCTGTTGAGAAAGTCATGTTGCAGCCCTCGCTTGGTCCGCCGGCCCGATCACCTTGCCGAAGAAGAGGGTAGGCCTATGCATCCTTCATTTTCGAGCCTATCTGTTCCTGCGGTCATAGAGCTTTTTGTCTTTGCTTGTTGCCAGGCATTTCTTGAAACCGATATGGCTATATTTATTGGTTCGAAAAATGGCTAAAGTGCGAATATTTGACATGTCGTTATGGATTTTATTACCGACACTGATAAGAAAAATGGATTACGGTCTACATATTAAACAATTTAATTATTCTGATCTTGATACCTATCAATGCACTTAAATCATTATCACACGAGAGCGTCGAAAAGCACGCACTGCACACGTCATTTATTCGCGCGCACGACTGCATCCGAATGCCCGCACGCACGCCCTCAACAGCAATTCATAAACACGCTCTTCCACACATAGATGATACTTGCTGGAGAAAATATTTGGCCCAAACACACACGCAACGACGCCTTAGAGGTTAAAGCGGCGAGCCCACGCGCCTTTTGCAGCGAGGACTGACGGGCTCGGATTCCACTTTCACCCGGAGGTACAAGGTGAACTTCACGACACTAGAGTCCATGATATTTTTGTTCTCTCTCTCTTTTTTTTTCCTCTTTCAAGTCCTGTTTATTCTGGCGGTCGCTGCTCCCAGGTACCCTGAGGATGCATTGGCACAAGAAAAGTTTGATATTGTTATTGTCGTTATCTTTATTAATATTATTGTTACTGATATTATTGTTCTTGTTGCTATAGTTATTGGCATTATCATCATTATTTTTATAAACATCAATATTTTTATTATCATTATTATTGTTATTATTATTACCATCATTACGATTATTAAAACGATAATGATAAGTATCATTATCATTTTTATATCATCAACATTACTGTGAATGTTATCATCATTACCAATATTGTTGTCTTCTTTATTATTATTACTACCATTATTATTATCATCACCATCATTATGATCGTCATTTTTATTATCAGTTATTCACGCACATGTATACATATATACATACATGCGTGCATACATACATGCATACATATATACATACATACATACATGTATTGGTAGATAGATAGATATGTGTGTGTGTGTGTCTCTCTCTCTCTCTCTCTCTCTCTCTCTCTCTCTCTCTCTCTCTCTCTCTCTCTCTCTCTCTCTCTCTCTCTCTCTCTCTCTCTCTCTCTCTCTCTCTCTCTCTCTCTCTCTGCTCTCTCTCTCTCTCTCTCTCTCTTTCTCTTTCTCTTTCTCTTTCTCTCTCTCTCTCTCTCTCTCTCTCTCTCTCTCTCTCTCTCTCTCTCGCCCTGGATGATAGATATATAGATATCGATAGACAGATTTGATCCTAGACGAACTTACGGTAAAGCCGACTCGCAGCCTTACGACAGCCGGGTAGAAGCGCGACCTCAACCGCGATGCATAATACCCGAGGCCCTGACCCCGTACAGCCAGCAGGGCCGCGGGAGGCAAGCAGCTCTTGGTCAGGCTTTGTGCTGTCTGGTTTTGTTATAGAACTTTGCCTCGATTTTGCAACGGCATAGGCTGCACTATTCACCGTTGAAGCCTTAATTATATGTAGAAAAATGTTCATGGATATAGAAACGCGACATTTTCAATGCGACTGCTGCATATAATTAGTCCAGAAAATACGTATACTCGAACTTGTATTTACTTCCACATATAGGCTTCAGCATCGCTTTGCAAATCAGTTGACATGTAAACTGGAACCTCAAAAGAATTGGAGCTAAATAGGAAGATAAAAAAAACTGGCTAGCTGTGAGCCGGTAGAAGGTGAATGTGAATGCTGTCTAACATCTTGAGATTGCTTGAAGAAGACTAGGTCAGTGAGACTAGTTTTTGTGCTGTTACGTCAAGCCGGTCAACGCACAGCAATCCTTAATGCGTTTATGTAACCATGATAGGTTGAAATCCGGGCATGGGTGCAGTGCCGTTGAAAGCAAGGTGACGGCGATTTTTTTGTTGTTGTTGTCGATTGCTTTTTGGCTGATCTTTTGAGATAATCAGGAGAGGTTTACATCCCACTTGATTTACCGAACCCGATGCATTGAATATAATTATTGGTTACATTTCTCTCTCTCTCTCTCTCTCTTCTCTCTCTCTCTCTTCTCTCTCTCTCTCTCTCTCTCTTCTCTCTCCTCTCTCTCTCTCTCTCTCTCTCTCCTAGCCCTCCATCCTCCTGCTCCTCCTCTATCTCTCTCCCCTACCCCTCTATCCTCCTCCTCCCTCCCTCTCCTCCCTCCCTCCCCTCCCTCCCTCCCTCCCTCCCTCCCTCCCTCTTTCCCTCTCTCCTTCTCTCTCTCCATTAATTAATAGACAATGGATTTCCACGAAAGGTTCTATTTTCAATAACGAATTGACTTCTTACACGAAGTAATTCTATCGTTTGTTCGTGTTTGCGTGTGTGTCTGTCTGTGTCTGTATTTCTTTGTCTTTCTCCGCTCCCCCCCCCTCCTGTCTACTTGCTCGTCTCATGATTTCTTATCTCAGATTTGAATATAATCTCTCCGTGTAATCTTACGTGTAATGATGATGAGTGTGTGTGAGAGGTTAGGTTAAACGTCGAGAGAAATGCCATTGCCATAAGAAAGTTGGCCGGGATGGGCGCTCACCCAAGCAAGTCATACCACCGTGTCAATAGTTCCGCGTTTGCCTTCGCTTGCACAAGGAAAGTCAGGGAGGCAGGTTATCAGGGCAGAACATGTTATGATCACGGGCCAGGGAGCACGCAGGAGAAGGCCTGGAGACGGAGAAGCGAGGCGCCACCGCCGCCGCCGCCGCCATCGCCGCCACGACTTGGGACACTACCACGTCTCGGTCGCTTGCGAAAAGGGTCAAGGTGGGCGCGGGTAAAGGGAAAGGCAACCGCTGGCTTCTTCGTATCCCTTCATCATTTCCTCGTCTTTCTCCTTCTCGTCTTTCCTTTCTCGCCGCTTCGCTGCCCCTCCCCCTCCCCGTACCCTTTCCTTTGTCGTCCCGCCCTTCTTCCTTCTTCTGAGTGGTCGGTCGAAATCTAGGCATATGCGCAATACCGTTGATAGCAACTTTGTGTGTATCTTTTTTGCTGAGTAATACATATGTAGGATGGGCTTTCATGTTCAATATTGATCATTTCTATTTGCATACTTTCTCTATCTATTCTCTCTCTCTCTCTCTCTCTCTCTCTCTCTCTTCTCTCTCTCTCTCTCTCTCTCTCTCTCTCTCTCTCTCTCTCTCTCTCTCTCTCTCTCTCTCTCTCTCTCTTTCACTCAT